CCCGTATTAGCACCAGCACTTCCGGGAATACCTCTTAGGTTGTACTTAACAGTCACCAGAGAGACAATGGGAGCCATGCTAGCGCAAGAAGTAGAAGGCAAAGAAAATGCGATCTACTACCTAAGCAAAAAATGCTCGAGTATGAAGCACGCTATACACCACTTGAGAAATTGTGCCTCGCATTGGTGTGGGCCACAACCAAGATAAGACATTACATGCTCGTGCATACAGTCTTTGTAGTTTCCCGATTAGATTCACTCAAGTATTTATTCGAGAAATCTACACTCAATGGGCGCATATTGAGATGGATAGTCAACTTAGCCCAGTTTGATGTAAGGTTCATGCCACAAAAAGCTATCAAAGGATCTGTGGTGTCGGATTTTCTAGCAGACTTTTCAATAGAAGACTCGACGCCAATACACGACAATGAATTTCTAGATGAAGACTTAATGGTCACTGAAGATGATACTTAGACCTTGTACTTTGATGGAGCCTCAAACCAAAAGGGATGTGGCGTTGGAGTATTACTAGTATCACCCAAAGAAGAGCATGTTCTAATCTCTATAAAGCTTGATTTCGACATTACTAACAACGCTGTTGAATATGAAGCGTGCGTGGTAGGCCTTGAAACAGCTTTAGCATTGGGAGTGGCATTGGGAGTGAAAAATTTACGAATATTCGGAGACTCTTCATTGATCATCAATTAAATCTCCAAAAGATGGAAAGTAAGGATCGAAAGCCTAGCCCCTTACCAAACTTATCTGGAAACCCTTACTAATCAGTTAGAGAAGGTAGAATACACATATCTACCTAGAGAATAAAATCAATTTGCTGATGCCTTGGCAAGACTAGCCTCAATGGTTAGGATTCCTACGGAAATCGAGCAAATTCCTCTAACTATAGAAAAAAGGCATAAACCGACCTATATTCAAGATATAGGAGATGATGAAGTGACCTATGAAGAAGAAGAAGAAGATGAAGAAGAAGAAGAACCATGGTATATGGATATACTTAACTATGTCACCAAAGGAGAATACCCTCCCCATGCTGACAAAAGAGCAAAACGAGCATTAAGACTCTTGTCTTCCAATACGTACTCATAGACAATGAGCTACACAAAAGGGTACCTAAGGGTCGAGCTCTATTATGTGTAGGAAAAAAGGATGCTCAAAGAGCAATGAGGATAGTCCACGAAGGAATTTGTGGAATTCACGTAAATGGAAAAATGTTAGTCAAAAAGATAATGCGAGAAGGATACTATTGGACTACAATGAATAGGGATTGCCATCAATACGTAAAAAGATGTCCTAAGTGCCAAATCTACGCTAATTTACAACATGTTCCTCCATCTTTTCTCTACACCTACACTTCGCCATGTCCATTCTTTACATGGGGAATTGACATCATCGGCAAGATCACCCCCAGGAACAGGAGGTCACGAATACATCTTAGTGGCAATTGATTACTTCACAAAGTGGGTCGAAGCACAATCATACGCCAAACTCACTGCAAAAGATGTAGCACTCTTTATCGAAAGAAATATTATTTGTCGATATGGAGTCCCACATGAAATGATAAGTGACAATGGAACTCACTTTCAAGCCGAGTGTGAAGAATTCCTACAAAAATATGGTATTCAAGATCATCATTCTTTTCCTTATAGACCTCAGGCAAATAGAGCAGTCGAAGCAGCTAATAAAAATTTAAAGACTATCATCAAGAAAATGACGGAAAATTACAAGGATTGGCCTGACAAACTCCACTTCGCATTGTGGCGTTATCGCATGTCAACAGGAAATACGCCATTTTCCTTAGTTTATGGATTGGATGCCGTACAACCTGTAGAGCTAGAGATTCTATCTCTACGCATCGCATTAGAGAGCAAGCTTGATGAAGTTGAATGGACTAGGGCAAGATATGAGGAGCTAATTCTACTTGATGAAAAACGACTAGAAGCTCTACATCACACTCAATGTTACCAAACTCGTATGGCTAGACATTTTATTAAGAAGGTCAAGACAAGAAACATCAAATTAGGAGATTTGGTGTTAAAAGCATTAAGGAAAAATGTTTTAGATCCAAGGGAAAAATTCAGACCTAATTGGTCTGGACCCTACATTGTCAAAACAATCCTGTCAGGAGGTGCAGCAAAATTAACTGACATGGATGGCAATGAGTTCTCAAATATGATAAATCTTGACCAACTTAAAAAGTACTACCCATTATCACTTGAGTAGAACACTCAAGAGAGCTACGTTTGGCCTGATTCCTTAAGAAAGGATACGTAGTCAGCCCTTTATGGGTGCGACCACTTTATTTTTTTTCAAACCTCGCATCCCAGACTTAATAAATTTTTTTTTTCAACAGCAGATTGACGATACATCGACGTCACAGAAAAAACTCTGGCGCCAACCGATGAACCTTAGCGCCAGATGACAACCTCTGTCGCCTGACGCAAGACTGCCGTAGCTAGCGCCGGTCGTAAAATCGCGGCGCCAATTTACTGATAAGTATCTGGGAATATTTCGGTGTTTTCGGAAAATTTTCGACTTCCGTACTCGAAAAAATTTCTGGAAAATTAAATTTTTGGTTTTCATTGCTTTAATAAATTAAATTTAAAGTAAATAATTTAATTAAAAAGCTGGAATTTCATTAATAAAATAAATTACATTATTAATGGAATTTAAATAAAGCCTAAATAAATTAACTTTGAATTTAAAACTAAGTCTAATAATTGAAAGTTAAGCAATGCTTTTAATCTTTTTTCTCTTTCTTTGCCCTCTTCCAATTCTTATCTGCGTCCTCTTCCTCATCCATAACTTTAGCTAGTAGGCATCCTTTAGAGGACCTACATTCAATTTTGGAGTAAATAGTTTCTCCTTTAGCTAGGACCCCATGCTTCTTTTCTACCCAAGCCTTCTCTTTGTAGTGTGAGCTTTCCTTTTTCCTTTATCCTTCGCAGAACTTTTCTTCTTAGGCATTGTAGGTGTTTTAAACTCAACTCTTTCTCCTAAGCGTTCCTTAACAGGAATCACTTTATCACCTAGACGACTCTTCACATCAGTTTTACTCTGATTTTTCTTCATGTCCTTTGAAGGTTTCTTCAGAAGCCACCTTTTCACATTTATTAGGCAAGGATGGAGGAACCTTTTGGGGTAATCACTTCCCATAAAGGTCTAGCGCTCCAATAAGTATCAAATTTGTCTACTTCTTGAGAGACAGGGAACTCATAGGGACGACGAAGATCCTCGGAAGGAATGGTTTGAAGTAGGTCGTACTGTCTTTTTACCCTGCAGGGATAATAAAAAGTCTTTCGGGACAAGCTTGGAAGACGGCAGAAAGGCTGCTTGTTAACACCAACCATCTTTTCTATTTTCCACCAAGGGGTGACCCACTTGATGGCAAAATTGCAAGACCCGAAGACCTTCTTCCATTCATGGCGCCCCATCTTAGAGAAGCGTTTCTTCATTCTCACAAAACAATTTGGAGTGTACTTCTCGATATTGTCTGGAGGACTAATTAATTCTAGTCTTTCCATTAGCCACATCTGAAATAAAAATTCAATGCAAATAAATTATTATTACTATACAAAAATATGTTTTTGATTTCTGTAATTAAAAATATTATTTTTCTACCTGTAATAAAATTGGAGAGCCCCAAAAAGGCGCTTTTAGATTCTTCTTTAATTCGTCAAGACTAAGCATAGTCTCTCCAACTATTAATGGCATTGGAGTTCTCCCAGATTCTATCTTCTCCAAAATAGTTGATATGATTGCTTGACCCTCATTAGTTTTACCACTAGTGAGAAGATATTGATTAAGCATGCAAAAAAGAAAAGCCATTCTTCTGTAAACATGAAAAGACTCAGAATAAGCCCAATAGGGTCTATCAAAATAATGTTGAGCAAATTGTTTCAAATTAACTATGCTACCATCTACTATTTTTGTTAGATCTTTGTCTTTTAAATTAAAGAAGCGCTCAAAATCCTTATAATAATATTCGTTTATTTTAGGGATTACTACAAGATCTAATGCAGGGAAGCCTAAAATAGCACCGAATTCTTCCGGCAAAGGGCTAATTTCATCATACCCTAATCTAAAACAATGAGTATCCACATCCCAATATTCTAGAGCGGTATGAATAATGTCTAAATCAAAATCTACCCCTTTGACACCATAAATACCCCCATGTGAAACTCATCTAACTCTTTTCTCTCCTTGGCAGTAAGAGACCGACACCATTCATGAGTGAAATTGGTAAAACTTTTAGAGACTAGAGACATGATTTTTATTTTTTCAAGAGCTAAGAATATATTTTCTGCTAAAATTATGAAGAAAATCGGCTGGGCAGGGGGCTATTTATACACAAAATCGGCGTAGTTTTAATCCGGGAAGGATTCGGAGTCAGCGCTTATCAGCGCCAGATGCCAAACATTGGCGCCTGACGCCAGAGCCTGGCGCCAAACGCTAAGCGTAGCGCCTGGCGCTTCACCAAAACGCGTGGCGCTAGGTGGCGCTAACGTGTCTTATTGTACGAGCTTTCCAAAAAACCGCGTTTTTTAGCTTGATTCGAGTCAGACCAATGACTTTACAGTTTTTTATTATTCTCTTTTTATACCTATTTCTAAATTTCATTTATTTCTTCTTCTTAATTAATACAACTGTTATATTAATTAAATTATTTTTCGGATTTTATTTTGACTTCACTTCCAAGTTTTTATAAATCCAATATTTTTTTTACTTTTATTTTTTTATTTTTCATTTTTCTTTTTGGGGGAGCAAGTCGGATAACCTCCATCAATATTAAAAATGACGGAATTTTTTGCGCAAAATTAATCTTCACAATTCTTTACACACACAAACATGCACATAAAAATGAAAAAATGAAAAATGATAAACACTGAATAAACTCATAATAATATGCATATACAAGCATGTCTAAATAATGAGTCTAAATAAAGGCAAAGTTCTATACAAAGTCAAAATAATAAAAAGTACAGGAACAAACTACGGCGTCGGGGGACGTACACCCATCATCTCATAAAAATGCGCCGTACGAGGAGTAACCTCTCCACTAGCTCCAGCTCCGGTCTCCTTGGGAGGTGGAAAACTCAGCACAAGACCCGTCCTCCCAAAATCAACCTGAGGCTGAGGCTGCGGAGGCTGCTGCGATGACGAGCCGACCTCGTACATCCCACCACCTTTAAGAGCCGAGGTAGCCTCTCCCTGGCCCACCGGCGCAGCATATGCACCCTTAGATGAAGTCCCTGAGCCCTCTATCGCCTCGGTACCGGCAGCCTCAGAACGACCGCCTCGACCACCAGAACCAGTGCGGCGACGTCTCGAGCTAGACCTCACCGGCTCCCTCCGCACCTCAAATCTCGTGCGGGTACGAGAAGGAATGGGCTGACCCTGCAAAAAGAAACCAAAATAAAAAATATGCAAAATAGAAGCAGTAATGCAAAAACATAATAAGGGAAACTACCTCCTGGACGGCGTCGTCAAGACGACATGTAGCCACATTCCTCATCCGAATGAGCTAGCTCCGGAAGGCATCTATGCACCGTGCCATCGCCGTGACCACCTCGCGTGAGAACTGTCAAAGAAGTAAAGTCTATAAACATGCATAACATATATGGACATAAGTTGCAAATAACTAAGCTTACTCGAGTCTGGTGACGAGGGATCAACCGCTCCACGAAGCGCTCACCCTCAGGAGCCGGAGGAATCATCTCCTCAATCGGCCCGTACGTCCCCTGATAGTGGATGGACATACGAGGTGGCAAAAACTCAGTAGGTCCAGCCTGACAAAAGCAAATCAAAGTCAGTAAAGCATTACTTGGGGGCTACTTAACGAAAGGTAAAAGCTGAAAATCATACCGCCACCCCTTCAGCCGTTACAGGGACTGGAGCTAACAACGAAAGTAGCTCCTCCTCATAGCACCGCCCAGGGATCGTGTAAGATCGCCAAGGGGTACCAGCTCCCTCTGACATGCTCACCAACCTCGCGCCGTTGAACATGTGACGTGGTGGAGGAGCAGGAACGACAAAGGTGTCCGAGGAATGCTGAATAGCAACCCTCTCTCCAAGGTATGTAATCGCTCCATATATCCCCAAGAAATAGCGACGCTTAGCAGTATACTGCTCGGCTAGCCCAAGGACAGCCAAGTCGTCCCACGGCCGGTACAACACGTCAGGCTCCTTCAAAGAACGCCTATCAGATAAAAATCTATCAAAGGTGTTACAAAATGCTCAAATATGTAAAGAACCATACCGAGATGATCCAATATCGGACATAAGTAGTGGACATCCCAACACGGCGGCTTCCCCAAGAAGCACTCACTAGAAACCGGCGCGGCGACGGTCTCGCCGGCGTAGCTGAGGGAAATTACTCGTAGAACCAGATCTACAAAAGGCAAAAATTATCAGCGAGTGCTAACTAAAGCTTAGAGCTAAACGTTACGGGAGATAAAGTATACCTCTACGATCCTCCAAAAGCCGGATAGAGAGACGTTCCCCGTGAAGGACCGGTGTCGACACGAGTCTCGTAACCCTCGGATGAAGTCAGCATAAGCCAAGCTGGCCCAGTCATAAGTCCCGATCAAGTGTAGATCACGGACTGCAGGCAGGTAGTAAAGCAGCACTCTACTACCCTTGTCAGGGGAGAACGTCCCTGACAGCAAGATAAGTACAAAGATGCGCACCCGCTGCTCTCGGGTAGTCGCATCATCATCAAAAGCCGCTGCTAGAGTCGAGCGGTGAATCCCCTTCGTGCTGAACTGAGTCGAATCCACCTCAGCTCGAGCCCGAACAGCAATCGGACCCAACAACACCTCGACCTTAGGAGAAAAGACACTGATCTCGTTGTCGAACGGCAGCGTAACAGAGCTAAAATCCAGTCCCGTAGAGGCAATCATAGCCTCTGAGGTCTCGTAAAGCGCAGTCAGTTCGTAAGACTCTCATAGAAGTCTCGCCTCGTCGTCATTGCCGATGTACATCTTGTACAGGTCGCCTAAGGCGTCGCAACTGGAACCATGGCAGCGCGTCCTCCCAACTGTGATACCCCGTCTTACCCTCTCAGAAATGTGGTGGACGGGAGAGAAGTACAAAGTCCGCTCATCCCACTTAGGGAGTCGGCTGAGTGAAGTGGACGGATCGGCGTCGTCCTCTACGGGCTCGTGCTCCCGTCGAACGTCTCGGGACCCTGAACCCGAACCTCGCTGTCTAACCATGCTACACTGTGCAAAATTATCATAAATTAAGGTTCTATAGTATATAAGGTTCGCCTAGCCGCATGATACTATGTTCGCAAAAAACAGAGTACATAGTACTAAAACAGAGCACAAATTCAAATTGAGCATATACGACATTTTTCAAGCATTCAAACAATTTCTTGCAATAATATAGTAATTATTGTGACAAATTGGACAAGAATTGATAGCAAAAACGTCAAGAACAAGCCACATTGTCTTCCCGACCATAAGAGGTCCAACAATGGTGATTTGTTCGTTTCTTCACCAAATTGAGTCAAACAAGTCTCAAATTACTCCCAAAGCAATATATAAACATAATCAAGCAATTTCATGGCATAAAATTTGACAAACAAAGGGAATTAAGCAATTTAAGTTTCGAATTTTCAAGAAATTCGTGAACAAATACATGCAAAATTCATAAAAACCGGGGTGAGTTTGAAGAAAACTTACATAGATCGGGAAAATGGATGGAATAAGCTTTGATTTGCAACAAATTTGAGCGAATTCGGTTTAGAAACGAGCAAGAACGAGCCAAATGAAGTTCTGAGCGAATTTTCGAGCAAAACACGAGCAGCAGCAGCGGAAATGAAGAAGAGAAGGGTATTTATGGAAAACCCGATTGTAGCGCAAAGTGACAGACCTTAGCGCCAGTCGATAAGGCTTAGTCTTGGCGCTAGTGCCAGCGTCTGGCGCTACAGCTAAAAATGCGGCGCTAGCAATATTTCAATGGCACCAGACTGTCTAGCCACTCGGTGCGGTTATTCCAACCTCTTGCAATATATTTTGGGTTCCTTGGTACGCCAGTTATCCCCTCTAAGCAATTTGACATGATTTTAGTAATCGGTTTGATTACAATTACATAAAGTGATCGACCTGATGAATGATCGTCTCACTTAGCTTAAAGCGCCTAAGCATTGGCTCATTGCAAAGCACCGACATAATGGTTCATTAAGCGAAGCACCAACATAATGGTTCATTTAGCGAGGCACAGACATACTGGTTCATTCAGCGAAAGTCACCGACATACAGGTTCAAAAGCAGCAGAAGCGCCGACGTACTGGCATAACGGAAGCAAAGTTCAAGCGAGCTTTTAAAGATCGACAAGCGTGGGTCTTCGGTAATTTTTCTTGGAATATTATCGCAACAAATGAGGATAGCTTCAAGCGAGGATATCTTCGGCAGCGTTCCCTAGCTTGCGGAGAGTTGTCACAAACAACTGAAGGTGATTTCAAGCGAAGTTGTCTTCGATCGTGTTCCCTAGCTTGCGGAAGATGGTCACAAAATGTTAGAAGGTCGTTTCAAGTGAAGCAATCTTCGATGGGGTTCTCTAGCTTGCAGAAGTCTATCATAGCCGAATTGGAGGCAGTTACAAGCGCAACAGTCTTCAGGCGACATTCTCTAGCTTGCAGGAGGTCGTCAAAAATACAGAAATACAGCAATACGACAGCAAAATTGGTTACCCCAGAGACGTGTGCTCGACGGTACAAGATACGCGTTTCTTAACTCTCTTATCTGTTTAACTAACGCTAGTTTGCAGGTATCGGCGTTACAAGAATGATTTAGGATCGCAGAACGTTCTGAATCATTCTCCATCCTTTTCGATACTTTGAGTTTGGTTTTCGAAACTTGCGTTTCTCCAAACTCAGTCAAAGTGGGGGCTTCTGTAGACACCCATTTTTGTCTCCCCAAAACCAAAACCGGTGATGAGTACCTTTCACATCGAATCATAATCGAATGAAGTGAAAGTGTGGAAAGTCTAGTGTTGCGGATAGTTTTAATTTCTTTTCTTTTCTATTTGTCTTTGAAAACTTATTTTAAGAAAACAGCCAATCCAGTTTGGTTGTTCATAGCAAGGGTCCAATAATAGTGTAGTTGCATATGGCTTGAAAAGAGCTTTCCAACGATATATTATAAGCCCAATTCCGATGAATATTGAGGAAGTTATGGCCAAATTACTAATCTGGCCCCGGTTTGAGCCTTATATGCGGCCCAATGATCTAGGGGAGGGCCTAATATGGATTTATCATTCCTAATGCAAGGAATGGTTTTAGTCTTCTAGATTCTTCTTTTCATTCTTAATTCAATTAGCATTGATAAATTGACTTTTGTTGACTTTCTGGAATTTTAATCAGAATAAAAGAGTGTTTTTGAGGAAAATACGATTTTATCCTCCTGTACGGTTAAATTTTATCTGATTTTAGAAAACGCGTCAAAAAAACTGATTAGCGCCTAATGCCAGACATTAGCGCCTGACGCTAAGCTTGGCGCCTGACGCTAGCGTTAGAGTCTGGCGCTAACTTCGTTTTTTCACGTCAGAATTCTTATTTATTTTTCTATCTTTTTGGCTGATTTTCTCTATAAATAGCCTCCTAAAAACTCCGTTTTCAATCATCTACGACATCTACAACCTACAATCTACAATCTACAATCACCTATTCTCTAACTCTACTCTCTCGAAGCTAAAGCTCTCTCTCTCTCCCTTTTCTAAACCACCCTTTATACAAAATTCCGCATTCACAAGACCTAGAAACACCTAGCCAAATTCTAAGTTGCCTTCGCCCTAGACGTGAAATGTTTGATATTTCCGATGGTTTGGTCCCAAATCTCTCTTTCAATTATTTAATTTAATTGTTTGTTTATTATTTTCCTTGAAGTTACTAACGTGTGTATTTTGTTATTAGAAAGAGGTACGAGGCATCCAAGTAAGTGCTTTAATTGTTTACATTGTTATTATGATGTAGAAATCATGCTTAAGTTGTTATTATTATTCCTAGCGTCATGTTAGGGTGTTTTGATCTTCCTAGTATCATGTGTAGGGTAACTTTAATATCAAGTATGATTAAAAGTATGATGCCTTTTATATTCTTCCTAATATTATGATTGTTAGTATCATGTTAGGGCTATATATTTGATCTTTGGTGTTTAGTGGCATGCTAGGGTTTGTTATTAATCTTGTTAGTATCAAGCCTAGGATCTTGCTATTATTATGCTTTAACATTATTATGATTATTTTTATGATTTATGATTATAATTGTTATAATTATTATTATGATGATTATTATTATGATTTTGATTATTTTGATTATTATTATGTTGCTTGATGATATTTATTGTTATTGCTTGATCACACCTTTTGGTTTAAAGGGAATTTGTACTTGTAATCACGCTTAATAAGATAATTAATAATCTTGTTTAGGGTTAATATGATTATTATTCAAGTGATCGCCAATAATAGTTTTGTTTGTGCATTAATATTCAACCAACATAGATAAACAGGTTTAGGGTTAATCCTATTGATTGCATGTTAGTCAGAAAGCGCATATGAATATGATCAGAATAAAGTAGAGGCCTATTATTAGGGCAGGTTCAATCTCTTTTAGGTTGGATTTGTACCTTCAACCCCGAACTACCAGTCATGGTTCCAGACCTATTGGAGTTGACGATCTCCTGGATCGTTAAGGGGTGTAACCTCCACCTCGTGAACGGTTTACAAGTTCCTAAAACTTGTTGGCGACTCGTTTGCTCTATCTTCTTTCCCTTTGGACGCCACCATGCTTAAGTGTATGGTCACAGTGGGGTTCAAGTTAGGAGTAATGCTTGAAATATTCCCTACACCCCCCTAAAGGGAACGTTATCTTGGTACCCTCGCTCCTGAACTCCTTTCTGGTACACGTAGACCAATTTAGGCATGGGTAAACTTACGATTCATGTTAAATATCCCTTGAACTCTACTTAGGAGAAAGACATGAACGAGGATTATGAGTTTTCCTAAAACTCATTGGCGACTCCTTACTTGTTTCTAACAAAAAAGCGTAATGATAGGATCAACTCTAATTCAAGGTCCCCCAAACAGTCAAGAATTCAAATCCTAATATCCTCTACGATGGGCACACCCTCCTTATAATAATCAGCTTGAAAAAATGATCAGGGAAGTTAAGAGCCTGCATTATTTCCTCTATAAAGTCTCACTCCATATTATCATAAGCTTTCTTCAAGTCTTACTTGATGAGACATCTATGATTAGCACCAGAATGCCCATAATGTCTTATAAGATGTTGATACACCATGATAATGTGAACTATATACTTGTTATGTACAAATGCACTTTGATTCTCAGCAATGAGACGAGGCAACACTTGTTTCAATCTTTCACACAAAACTTTTAAAATGCACTTGTAGAGTACATTACAGCATGCAATTGGCCTAAACTTAGTTACATTAATAGGAGACTTAGTTTTAGGAACCAATGTAATGTAAGTTAAGTTTATTTCCTTAAACATTTTGTCAGTTTGCAGAAAGTTCAAAACAACCTTGCTTACATCTTCACCCACTGCATTCCAACTCTTCTTGAAAAAGTTTCTCCCAAGTCATCAGGCCTAGGTACTATATTTTCATCTATATCAAACATAGCTTTCTTTACTTCTTGCATAGTAAACTCACTTGTTAAAGCGCTATGCATGTCTGCTGGGATCAAAGGCCCAAAATGAACAACATGCCTATTAGCATGGGATCTCAAGATGGCAGCAGTACCTAGTAAAGTATCATAATATTCCAAGAAAGCCCAAGGAATGTCATCCATATCAACTTGAGTACCCTGCTTATCTTGAATTATATAGATCTTATTCTGCATTTGTCTTTTCCTGAGCGCTCTATGGAACATAGCTTTGTTATGATCTATATCCATTATCCATTCCACTTTTATTTTCTGTCTTAAGAAAAAGAAGTAGGTATTATGAGCTTGTAACATATTCATCCTAGCTACATTCTCATTTTCTCTAGCCTTAGCTAGTGTCAGTTGGCTTACTGTGAAAAACTGTTTGACATTTTTCAAGTTCTTCCTTTGCCAAATTATATTGGATTTAAACATCCGAAACTCTATTTTTATTCGCATAATCAGACTTTTCTTAACTTCCTTCAACTTCTGTACTACATAGTAGATGGGAGCTCCTTGCACTTGCTTTTGCCATGCCTGAGATA